GCTAACATATCAACTTTATCATGAGGAGAAAACCAATGGTGAGGGGATCCATAGCAATTGTACATTAATTCCTTTGTCCCAAATTTTTTTGAGTATTTTTCCTGGTTTCTCCAATGAGCATTTTTTGTTGGAGTCATTACTAAATCAAGAGCCTTAAATGATGACATAGAAATCAGTAATGATGAAGAGTCAAGCTCGTGTCATAGGTTGTTTTAGCCCATTAGGATTGCAAACAATTCAGTTTGCAGTGTAACCCCAGTTTTAATTTTCCCTATGCCTAACCAAAAAATTTTATTATTTTTTTTTAACAGGGAGGGGCAACAAGAGCAATGCAGCCCCCAAAGACTCCTTTTTTAGATCCACAGTGTATATAACTTGTGATAATTTAATTACTACCACTAGGTGAAAAATTTCTTCTTGAGCATTTTTGCCAACAAAAGATTTAAGGGAAGGGATTACACAATAAGCTTTTGGGAGGGGCTTGCAGATAGTGATATTTAAAAGAACATATCTCCACGGAGGGGGGAAATGCTCTTTTTCCTACAGTGAACAGTTCATGCAGGTTAAAAACCATATATGTGAGAACCTGGGATAACCCAAAAAATCAGACATGGGCTTTTTCTCTTGATTCACACGGGTTTCCCCAACTTACCGACAATTAAAAACTGCTTCAGAGGGCCCTTTCAACGAATCGTGGGTTCAATCTCTGATCCAAATCCTTGGAGACAATTTTCTTAATTTAACCCCCCAAGTCACGTGGCCACAAAACTGGGGGGGGAAAAATTCATGGATAGTTAATTTAGGGTTAAATAACGGCCTGACCAACCATTGGGTATTTTGTAATCGATATTTACAACCATTTACGTTTTTACTCCTGAAAGTTTTTTTCAAGCCTCTTTGAGACAGATTTTTTGGACTTGGTGACGGTGTCAAACCTTGTAGGAAGTTTCTCATAAGGAAGCGATTTTAACACTTTTTTTATACGTGTGTACCAGTTCTTATTACCATACGGAAGTATTTTCTGTTGATATAATGATTACAAAAAAATTTTCAGATGGGGGTCAACAGGAGAAGAAATGAAACCTTAATTAATGACACGTCAGATCCTTTAGTGTTTTGAAAGCATTAAAAAATTGCTCCCCTCACCCCTAGTTCTTCGCATACAATTTTGGGTTACGTACATTACTAGCAAAAATAAAAAAAAGTTTTTTTTTTGGGGTTTCCTGGTCATGTTGAGTTCAGGGCCAATAAAGGGGGCAGACCCTGCTGTCGATCTGCAGTACAACCTACAGTTTTATATGGGTTTTAGGTAAAACAAATGCAACAGTTAACAACTTTATTCCAAACGTTTTCCCCACACATGGCTTTTTCAGTCGAAAACAGAAAGTAGGCAGGAACATAGAGATGTGAAGACGATGTAATCAGTCCCACCCTTAAAATCGTAAATTTGAGGGTTTTTCAGTCCCTCGGCTGGGGAATTTTAGTTCCATAGTCAGGGAAATATCTGAAGATCAAGCGACAGTGCGGAGACTTAAAAAACTGTCGAAGGGGGTGCAGGGGGAGTAGTATAGTATAGTATAGTTAAATAGTATGTAAGTAGTAGTAGTAAGTAGTAGTGAGAGGCCATGAGAGGTATGTCCCCTCGATCCCAAAACTTCCACTTTAAAAGCTTTTCCAAGGGGTTTTTGACCCAAAAGCCACGTGTTGCAGTGTCGACAAGATAACATCAAAAAAGGTATACAAAAACCCCACAGGTTGTTAGGTAAACTATGCAACAGTTAGACAAATTTTTTCCGAAACTTTCGCCTAACAGTAGGCTTCTTCAGTCGAATACAGAAAGTGGGGGGGAACAGTAGAGATGTGAAAACTGTAAACAGTCCATCACCCTTAAAAATCGTGAATTTGAGGGGTTTTCAGTCCCTCGGCCTGGAGAAATTCATTCCATAGTCAAAAAATTGAAGATCAAGCGTCAGTGCGGAGACTTAAATACTGTCGGAGGAGAGGGCAGGGAAGTAGTATAGTAGTGTAGTATAGTATTAGGTTTTTAGTAGTGTAGTGAGAGGCCCCTGAGAGGGCATGTCCCTTCGATCCAAACTTTTTCACTTGAAAACGTCCAAGGTGTTTTTTTGTACCAAGATGCCACGGGTTGCAGTGTTGACAAGATTAAAACAAAATGGTAACAATCCCACAGGTTGTTTGGGAAAAACCAATCAACAGTTAGAAACTTTATTCCGAAACTTTTCGCCTAACAGAGCTTCTTCAGTCGAATACAAAAGTAGGCAGGAACAGTAGAAGTGAAGATGTAATCAGTCCATCCCCCTTAAAAAAGTGTAGAATTGAGGTTGTCAGCCCCTGGGCCGGGGGAAGTTCGTTCCTAGTCGGGACTATCTGAAATCAAGCAAGCAAGCGAGCAATGTATAAGATAACGACAGGGGGGAGACTTAAAACTTTTCGGAAGGAGAGGTGAGGGAGAGTAGTAGTAGAGTGTGAGAGGCCCTGAGGGGGCATGTCCCCTCAATCCAACATTCTCACTTGAAAAGTTTGTCCAAGGTTTTTTCTGTCCAAGATGCCACGTGTTGCGTGTCGACAAGATGAACATCAAAATGGAAAAACAATACCGAAGGTTGTTGGTAAACACAAAGAACAGTTAGACAGCTTTTTTCCAAAACTTTTTCCCCAAACACGTAGGCTTCTTCAGTCAATACAAAATGGGCAGGAACAGTAGGATGTAAGACGATGAAATCGTCCATCCCCCTTTAAAAAGCGTAAATTTGAGGTTGTCTCCTCGCCGGGAAAAGTTCATTTTCCATATCGGAACTATTGAAATAAGTTGTCTAACTTTTGGCATATGTGTTTTACCTAAAAACCTTCGGTACTGTATACCATTTTGATTTCATCTTGTCAACACTGCAACACGTGGCATTTTGGTACAAAAAAAACCCCTTGGAAAAGCTTTTCAATGAGAAGGTTGGATCTGAGAGGGAAAATGACCTCTCGGGGCCTCTCACTATACTACTACACACTATACATACTACTACTCTACCCTCACCTTCCTTCCGCAGTTTTAAGTTCCGCACGTCGCTTGATATTAGATAGTTCCTGATTGGAACTGAATTTCTCCGGGCCGAGGATGACAACCTAAAAATTCTACGATTTAAAGGGGATGGACTGATTAATCGTCTTCACATCCCTACTGTTCCTCCCCTACTTTCTGTATTCGATAAGAAGCCTATTTAGGCAAACGTTTGGGAATAAAGTTGTCTCCTGTTGCATATGTGCCCTACCTAACAACCTGTCGGTATTGTTTTCCATTTTAAATGTTAAACTTGCAGACACTGCAACAGTGGCATTTGGTAAGAAAAAAAAACCTTGGACAAGTTTTTAAGTGAAAAGTTTGGACTGAGGGGGGACATGACCCTCAGTGGCCTCTCACTACTACTACTACTACTACTACTATACTACCCTGCACCTCTCCTTCCCGACAAAACTTAAGTCTCCGCACGTCGCTTGACTCGATAGTTCCTGACTAGGGAAACTGAACTTTTTCCAGGCCGAGGACTGACAACCTCAAATTCTACGATTTTAAAGGGGTGATGGACTGATTAACGTCCTTCACACTCTACTGCCTGCCTACTTTCTGTATTCGACTGAAGAAGCCTACTGTGTAGGCGAAACGTTTCGGAATAAAGTTGTCTAACTGTTGCATATGTGTCTTACCTAACAACCTGTCGGTATTGTATACCATTTTGATGTTCATCTTGTCAGACACTGCAACACGTGGCATCTTGGTACAGAAAACACCTTGGACAAGCTTTTCAAGTGAGAAGTGTTGGATCTGAGAGGGACATGACCTCTCAGTGGCCTCTCACTACTACTACTACTACTACTACTACTACTACTACTACTACTACCCTGCACCTCTCCTTCCGACAGTATTTAAGTCTCCGCACTGTCGCTTGATCTTCAGATAGTTCCTGACTATGGAACTGAACTTCTCCAGGCCGAGGGACTGACAATCTCAAATTCTACGACTTTAAGGGTGATGGACTGATTACATCGTCTTCACATCTCTACTGTTCCTGCCTACTTTCTGTATTCGACTGAAGAAGCCTACTGTGTAGGCGAAACGTTTCGGAATAAAGTTGTCTAACTGTTGCATATGTGTCTTACCTAACAACCTGTCGGTATTGTATACCATTTTGATGTTCATATAGAGGTATTCCATTCTCTGACTATTTTGTTATAATCTCTACCCACCTTTGCAACCGTTGGCAGCAATGTTGGTCTGATATGACTCCTAGCAAATTACATTCTATCAAACCAAGTTTGGGTTTCTGGCCTTCTTGTCATCGATACCGAGGTTGAGAGACAACACTCTTTGGTCTTCGCATCGGACACACTTGTCTAACTAATGGGTATCTCCTGTTTCACTTTGTGAGAATTGTCTAGTTCCTGTTTCAATTTCCCATATTCTACTGGTTTGTCTTGTCTATCAACGAAAACAGAATTTTCCACCGACGGCATCACCGCTCTAACACCCTCACTTTATTTTCCCTCCTCGCTGACGGCCCCACCTTTGACACAGACTCCGTCGTCGACTTTTTGACAGCAAATGATTTGTTATACAAACGTTGATAATCCTTCCTTTAGCACTCTTCACAGCCCCTCCTAACTTTACCTTTATTGTCATCTCCACCCTTATTTGTCCTTAGAACCTGCATCAGTTCCTACCCTGCAGCGCTGTATGACCCTGGTAGGTTTAGCGCTTCCTTTTGATTATAATAATAATGCTTCAAAATCCCAGGACAAACAAGGCCACTAGGAAGCCTGGGCCTTGACCTGGCATACTAAGATCATTGTAGCAAGATGACACTTACCATTGTCTTTTAGAAAGGTGGTATTAAGTGACACTTACCATAAAGTCATCTTTTAGTAAGTAGTGTGAGGAAAACACTTATTATTAAGCCTTCTCTCACTAAGTTGCTCTGAAGATAACTTACCATAAGGTCATCTCTTAGTAAAGTGGAGTTAGTGAAGTAAGGGTCGAGGTCGTTGTGAGTGAGGAGGAAGGTCAGTCTGGTGACTCCCCAGTAGTAACCAGAGAAAGTGAGGCTCTTGTTGACTTCTTCACACACTTCCTCCGCAGTGAAGTTGACATTGGTATCCACAAAGTCCAGCTTCCATTCTTTGTCAGGCACCACCGTCACCACCAGCTGCGCCTCCTTCAGGTCACTTCCATGATCACAAATAACCTCAGTGGCGTTGAAGCCGAGAGACAGTGTAAGGTTGTGGAGTGTGTCCTCTGGCACCTTCCACACACCACTTTGGAAGGTCTCCAGGTAAACTCCTCCCTTTGCAACTGCGCCAGTGACCAGGTGCGCACACCACCACCACAACAACAACAACCAACACTGCATTTGGGAATAAGTTAAGAGGAGAAATTTCGTCGCACTACACAACGATGTCAAACACTTTACCCTGTGTGTCGGGCTGACAACTATGAACAAAGGAAGTTCTGTCAACTTATTTTAAAATTCATATGGAAGTATCAGTATTTCAGTGCGTGAGCTCATTTGTGCATTATTCACCTGCGGCAATCCAATGCTATTTCTCAATAAAACTTGATATATTACTGCCACTAAACTTACAATAATAATAAAACACTGCAGCCCAGCGAAGCTTACAATTTAACAGAGCACCACACGTCACCAACAGTAACTGATGTGCTCTCCTTGCAACGAATAACCTGGAGTGTACTGGTGTGTCCCTGGTTGAGTAACTCGCTTACGTCTTGATAAAAAAATCCCATGGTAAGGTTGTTGAAGAAAGTTTATGTTATCGCTACGAAGATAAACCAAGTGAGATCTGCAGATAATGTCATATATTTACAACCGAAGTACGTACTTGATATTAAAGCATCATTGTAAAGATAACGGTATATTTTTTTTTTTTCGGTAGGAGGCTGGGATTTACATTCCACGAAGAGCATCATTATTACCATATTGGCTGTATTTCTTTGTTTACTGAATGATATTAAAAGGTTATAAAAGTCGCCATACAACTGGTATACGTGGCCCGGTGGCCTGGTGGCTAAAGCTCCCGGTTCACACACGGAGGGCCCGGGTTCGATTCCCGGCGGGTGGAAACATTTCGACACGTTTCCTTACACCTGTTGTCCTGTTCACCTAGCAGCAAATAGGTACCTGGGTGTTAGTCGACTGGTGTGGGTCGCATCCTGGGGGACAAGATTAAGGACCCCAATGGAAATAAGTTAGACAGTCCTCGATGACGCACTGACTTTCTTGGGTTATCCTGGGTGGCTAACCCTCCGGGGTTAAAAATCCGAACGAAATGTTATCTTATCTTACGTTTGCCTCATTGTAGTTGAGAACATAAGAAGAGAGGCACTGCAGTAGATCTACCAACCCAGTGTGGGAATAATACACATTTCATTATCAAGGCATTTACTGAAGATGACGTTTCGTCAGTGGTGGTTTTATTAATTGTAATATATCATATTACAGGTGGTACATAATATCTGTTGGGAAGGGAGGGTGTGAGGCTCTCCCGTAGCGCTAAGATGAGGATACCGTGTATGTATCCTTTCGGGAAATCAGAATAATTGTGCCTGGGATTCAGGGAAATAACGTCAGTATGTTGGCCTGGTTTTTGGATTCCTGTGGAAAATTTGAAGGGGGCTGTAGAGCAATTTTCCGTGCGCTCTCAAAAAAAATCGAAAAAATATGGAAATTGAGTTATTTATACCGAAAAATAGCTTAACTCTTTGGCAACACAATGGTACCAGAATTAATGTTCTACGACGTTTCTACAAGAAATTATAGTCATTTATATCAGGTATGGTGACGGTAATGTGGGTAGCGAGTCTGCTCACAGCTCATATATTTTTTGGAATTTTTTCCTTGTTTTTTATCTCTTTTTCTTGCATTATTCTTTCTAATATAATAACTGACTATTTGGCATCATAAAACAGTAGGCGGAGCTTATCCATAGACTTAGAGCCAACCAGGCACAATATGGGAACACTCGGCAGTGTTCCCGCTCCAGAGAGTGCCAGGAGAAATCACTTCATTATTACGCTTATATCAGCTTATATATCAACTCTACGGCTTATTTATCTATCCGAATTGATCTAATATGATGTAATAAACACTATAAATAACATACAAACATGCTATATACTCTAGACTGAATAAAATAAGCCATAATATGGCGAGAGACTATCGGGAATATTTCGATATAAATGAGTGAATCCTCTCATGTCGTATTCTTTGGTCTTTAAGTAAGAGAAAACGGTATTTTGAAGAGGGTAACTACACTAGAACATCAGTTTACTAAGAAATACACCCAATCAAACGCGATTTTCGCGATTTTTTTTTTTTCGAGACGGTGGGCCGGCCGGCGTTCCAGGAAAATATCTCGGAAGTAACTTATTCACCTAAATTCCATAATTCTTCCTTTATTACTTAATTAAATGGAATAATATTCACAGAAATTGTAAAATAATGATTTCTCTATTCACTAAAGTTTTTTTTTTTTTTTTTTTTTTCCTCAAGGAAGGTTCCTTGATGTTGGTGAGGGGCTTTTGACTTAGGGAATTGGATCTGTGCTCCAGTTCCCCGAATTAAGCCTGAATGCCTTCCACACACCCCCCCCCCTCCCATAGGCGCTGTATAATCCTCCGGGTTTAGCGCTTCCCCATTGATTATAAATAATAATAAAGTTATTTTGGGGGAAATATTCCAATTATTTTGGGATTTATGTGGGAGTAAAGGGCAGATATTTTGCAACATTCCAAGAACTAACAAACTTTATTTTTTTGTGAAATAAAGATAAGACATTTAGAGGACATTATAGCTTTAGAAAGTCGTATTAACATTGTTCTCTCGGCACCAAGTGTCCAAACAACCTTACGTCGTCCCATTTAGGATTAAATTTGGCTACAAGGGCATTTTCGGCAAGTTAGTCCTTTTTCAGTCTTTTCTCAGTTGTTGTTTGAAGTATATTTTTGATAAATATTTTTAACAAAGAGTGAAAACACTTTGTCTTGCGCACCAAAACTGGAGGAAATCGGACGGTAAACAAAAGAGCTACAATTTTTTGACCGATGGCCCCCCTGAAGTTCCTGAATCTGCATTCCCTGGAACACAGGCGGGAGAGATACATGATTATATACACCTGGAAAATCCTAAAGGGACTAGTACACGAAAATCACTCACTACGAAAGCAAAAGACTTGGCAGACGATGCAACATCCCCCCAATGAAAAGCAGGGGTGTCACTAGCACGTTAAGAGACAATACAATAAGTGTCAGGGGCCCGAGACTGTTCAACTGCCTCCCAGCATACATAAGCGGGATTACCAATAGATCCCTGGCAGTCTTCAAGCTGGCACTGGACAAGCACCTAAAGTCGGTACCTGACCAGCAGGACTGTGGCTCGTACGTTGGATTGCGTGCAGCCAGCAGTAACAGCCTGGTTGATCAGGCTCTGATCCACCAGGAGGCCTGGTCACAGACCGGGCCGCGGGGGCATTGACCCCCGGAACTCTCTCCAGGTAAACTCCAGGTAAACAAGAGTGCAGAGTCCCTGAAAAATCCCAGCCCCCTAAATTGCCATCATTTGTTGCACATAACCTCAAATCTACTAATTCTTGTGTTCTATATATTAAAAAATCACTTCCCCATCAACTTCTTGCACATAAAAAAACAGAGGGGCTACAATATCGCGGTGTTAGGATTTATATTGGGAACTCTGCTCTCAACATATTAAACTTGTACGCTCCTGCTGATAAGTTTAATTACTTGGAGCTCCCAACTTGTGCTCAGTCTGAGTCTACTCTTATTATTGGTGATTATAATGCAAGACACAAAAGCATTGGAAACTCACAGTTTGGCAATCGTAATGGTAATCAACTGTTGTCACTCTTAAACAGTCATGATGATGTGCAAATTGTAGGTGACCTTGAACCCACACATATCTATGGAGGCGTCCTTGATCTGTGTCTTGGCTTCAACATTACTTCTGCCAGCTGTGAGTCTTCCATTGTAACAGATATATCATCAGATCATTTCCCAAGGCTAACCTCCCTAGATATTGGTAATACTATCCTCCTGGTGGGATATTCGAACGGAAACGTTTTAATGTTCCCCCTGATCAGCATAACTTTGTTGCACATGTGACTGACTGGTATAATTCCTATGAGTGTACCTCTGTTGAGACTTTTAACAATGACCTTGTGAGCAGTATTCAAAACTACTTAGAGCCGCCTCTGAAACCTCCTACTACTCTAAATCCAAATGACTTCTATAATAATCATAAGTCTTATAAAAACCATACCTATTACAATGATTCTAAACTTTGAACATTGAAACGTACTGCTCGCATACTAGGCCTAGCCTATAGAAACCATCGTACCCCTGAAATGCTGAGCCTCTTTCAAACTGCCCTTGCTGCTGCCAGAGAGCGTATGACAGAGCTGCGGCAAACAGACTGGGAACAATTTGTCAATTGTCTCAATGCTCACACCCCACTTAGCCGGGCATGGAGGGACATAAATAGAATTAAGGGTAACAGAACTGGGCAGATCGCGCACCCTCATCCCTTGCATAGGGCGAATGAATTAGTCAGTGCTTGGGCTGCTACATCTAGCTATGACAGTCTTCCCAGTACCACACAGGCGAAATTAATGGACAAATATGATGCAAGGGAGAGACTTGTTTGCTTTATGCTCAGCAAGGCAGATGACTGCAACATTCCTTTCACTAATTATGAACTTGATGCAGCACTAACTAAGGGCAACTCCACGTCGCCTGGTGAGGATGGTATTACTTACAACATACTCAGATTGCTGTGTCGAGTACCAGGTAATCCATTACTTGAATTATATAACATGAGCTATGTCACTGGGGAGCTCCCTAAATCATGGACCAACAGCCTCATTATTCCCATTTCTAAGCCCAATCAACAAAACTCATTTCGCCCAATATCTTTTACTAGCTGCTTGTGTAAAACATTCGAAAGGATGATTCTTAATCGTCTTATGCACAGAATTAAGCAATTCTTGTCTCCCAGGTTGCATGGCTTCATGCATGGAAGGAGTGTGCATCATTGCTTAGCCACCTTTCTCACTCTGCACACTGACAGCTCATACACTACCTTCCTTGACCTAAATCCGCTTTTGATGTAGCCAACCGACATGTAATCATTAGTGAACTTGCCAGAATGGATGTTGGAGGATGGCTTCTCCTCCGGATTAAAGGCTACCTGTCCAACAGAAAGTCGTCTGTGTTGTTCCAGGGACATTGAAGTGTAACTAAAGATTTTGAATTAGAAACCCCGCAGTTAGGTGTGCTTAGTCCCACCCTATTCAATATTCTAATTAATGCCTTACTTAATGCTATGCCTAGCCAGCCCCATCATTATATGATTAGTTTTGCTGATGATATAATGATTCACACCACCGGATTCTCCAACACCCAAAACATTCTTAATCATGTACTAGCCTCGTGTCAGGACCTGGGGTTAATAATCTCAGGGAATAAAACAAAGATATTCAACAGGCGTCCTCCTCGACAGAGAGGCACAGTTATTCAGATCCAGATGCATGATGGGTCTCTTCTAGAATATGTAAGCAGATACAGGTATCTTGGCTTTGAGGTCCCACTACTTGGTCCTGTTGTAACAAGACTTTGACGCCAATACAAAGAAAGGCTGAGAGCACTTAGAGTTGTGGCAGGGTTTCACCACAGGTGTGGTGCTAAT